TTATTATTTTACAGGGAATTATCTCATTTGAGTGCCCTGCCATCCATCCATCCTGCCATTCTGCCATCCTGCCCGCAGTCTGCTGTGTAATGTGTGCGTAATAACATAATATCCTTAAGATATTTTAATATTGCCTGCCGCTGCATATTGAACTGCGGCAACGTTCGCATCCAGGACTCCACCCCGATCCCTGCCCCTCTTCGCATTTCCATACTCTTGCTCTTGGTCCTGGTCCTGGCCGCATTTCAACATATTTGGCTTTACTTTGGCTGCCGGCTTGTTTGCTCCTCAGCTCGCTTTTCCTTCCTTGCTACGATTTAACAATACCTTTGTGCATCGTAAAATAATTGCCGCAGGGGCTTGTAATCTTCCGGGTTGGGTGGCTTGCAATTTTCATTTCGCCGAAATTTGGTTTACCATTTTTTTTTAGGATTTTTCATAGCGGCAGCTAAAAGGTTTCCTAAACGCCGGCTTACCGAGGGACATGTTTATGGATGTTTGGGATGCCTGGCAATCGCGAAGTTCACGATACAAGCCAGTTTATTAGGAAATTTTCATCGATTGTTTACTGGGGAAAGGTGTGTTTACCTTTGGGCATTGGTTGAAGGAATCTTAAAGAGGATTTTGATGATTAAACAGTTCTCTCCTGCTATCAAATTCATCGAAATAACAAAAATATTAAACAGACATTCTCCACTGATTCATTTTCAATATTTTCCTTATTGGCTGTGAGTTAATTCCTAGGATAATCCCTCTAATTCCTGCACATCTAGTTTAACGCATACCTATAAAAGTAAGCGTCTTCGTTATCGGCTCTCACTTAATATTATGGGAATGTTCCCTTCACCCCATCAATCCATTATCCGATTTCCCCGCTGCCTCAGACTTGTGTGTTTATCAATAATGTGCTCCAAGCGGGCTCTGAGATGTTTCTGGTGTTTGGTTCATGATTGTTTTTAATAAGTCGCTGCCCTCTCGCCTATCTGCCTCTTCCCAATACCGCTCGACATATGCTGCAACAATTTAACGTTGAGCTCGTAAATAAAATCGCTTGTCCCCGCGGCAACTTCACTCCGTTCCCCTTCGGGGTTTCTTAGGCAAAGTGCGGTGACATTATTATTGGAAGAGAGTCGCTGGCAGTTCGAGGATATGAGAGTCTGCGGCACTCGAGTTATTGACAAGTTTATGTGCTTAATCCTTCCATAAAGCGCACCATTAAAATGCCAACAAAAGGTACTTTATATGAAAATTTCCTAACCCCGCCTTGGCGTCCACTTTTATCGCCAGCTCATCGTTCATATTTCAATGAACGCACCGAAATTTAAATGCTCCTTTACACTGAGAGGAATGAGGGGTATAAAGTCAGTCATCTCTAAACAGCTTAAGCTGAATCTGCCTATCACATTACCATATTGGTTAGGAAACATATTCATTTTGTTACTTTTTTCTTTAAGTGTATAGAAAGACATGTGTGTGTGGGTGTTTGCGTCTGTGTAAGCGTAAGACAATCGAATATTGTGGGCGTGTCGAATGGCACACGATGCCGAAGGCAGCTGGCTGGCCGGAATATCGGCACCATCCTCGAATGCTGCCCCATCCTCGACTGGGTTCCTGATATGCTCGGGTATTTTTATTGCCCGTGCCCCGCTCTCGCGATTCCGTGCATAATAGTGTAAAACTAGACATATATCTCCCGACCGACCGGCTATATATTTTCCTATGGCGAGCTGCTATTTGCAGCGAAACTCACGAATTCGTAATAAAAATGTTTCGCACTGGCAAACGTGTGGCGAAGTGAGGATTTTGGGGAGCGAAATTGAAATCGGAATGGTTCCGAGCGGAAGGCCTCGCAAATGAAAGACAGGCATTAATTTTTCAAAATTTTTATTTTTTATTTACCTCCCAAAAGAGAGCGAACGGAGCGGTGGAAGGAAGTTCCGACGATTTGGGGGCAAGTAAGTTGAACTCATTTCGCAAGTGTTTACACAAAAACAGCATTTCGCATGGGATGACTAATCCGGAGAGGTTTTAGCTTTAATTTAATAACTTACTTTAAGATGACTAATCCATAAATTACTGTACTTTGCAAGCCCAATCTCCATGTGTTCCCATCGGCGCCAACCCCATCCACCTTCAACCCATTTCCAAACTGCTCCCCCCCAAAAAAAGCTTGGTTTTGGGAAGAAGAATGATGGAACCTCTTCCAGGCAGACCACATTTAAACGATTTCACATTTCTTAATGATTCTGACAGCTGAATGATCTTTCATTCGGGGTGCCCAAAATGTGTTTTTCGTATTCTCCGTTCGCGCTTGTCAGCCCCAATTTGAAATTCGGCCGAATTGGTGCTGCCTCAAGTGGCGGCGGTCTTTAGTTAATGTCAGTCAGAGAGCCCAGATGTTGCCCAAGTCGCTGCTGCTGCCTCTTCTGTGGGATTAATTAGGTATGGACTCGGTGGTACTGTGTACACTATGCAACAAGGGCTTCATGAAAGGGGCCAGCCTGATCTTGCTTGTCAACTTCTCTCTGCGCTGTGGTGCTTTTTAATTTTAATTCCTCCGCTAATACATCATCGTAAGTCAATACAGAAGGTGGTGCAGTGGTGCATTGGTGCGGTCGTGCGTGTGTGTGATAAGTCCTGGAAAGCGCCGAACTTCACGTTCCAATTTTCACAACAGTTGGCAATCCACACAACCCTCTGGCCTCCCTTTGTTCGCCTTGATTTCCTCACATGCCAATGCGATAATCACACTGGCAGAAACACTCAGAAAGTTATTTTACAAGTTTGAAGTTTTCATTTCAACATTATCTTGGGATCAAAATGGATAGATTACTGGTTAAGTAGAACATAATACTTGTGTGCTAAGAAAGACTCTTAAAAGCCAGCCCAAAACTATGCTTTAATATAGTTCTTACAAAAAGAAGTAACAAATATATAAAATTGAGAATAAATAAACTTTTATTTGAGTGTAAGTTAGTGCGAATAGCAAGTCGAGGTCGAAATTTGCCTGATGCCGAATCCGTGCCACTGCCTGGTGGTGTTGTTTCGATTTCGCGTTGCCCTTGTTGGTGGTGGCAACGTCAAGGTGAAAGCCGTTTAAGGTGGCCAGGGGCGGGGGGGTGAAGGACGAGGCAGGAGTCCATTGTTAGACTCAACATGTGCGCTATTGGATTAAGTGGCGAACGACGGCGATTCAAGGACAATCAATGGAACAGCACGAGCCTGGGAGTCCTGTTCCTCGTCACCTTCTGTCCAAATCGTAGCCAGACCGCGTAACAGAAATCCATTAAGGTGACCGTTTTATTTGCTACATTAGCGGAGGCCGGGGTGGTGACTTAAATGGATGCATTTAGCCATCTGGCTGCATTTCGCCCGAAAGTACAAAAGTGTTAATTGAGACTTCATTTTTATTGGCTGCCAGGAGAGAGTTTATTCAAGCGGAATGGTCAGGATAGACAGATAGTCCCTTCTGTCCGAGCTTAAAACCGGTATCCTGCATGCAAATCCCGACCGAAAGGATACGACACAGGACAAGCTGGCAGCTGGCACTTAGGAGAAGGAAAACGCCCACGTGCCGTAGAAATGTGAGGAATGCCGGGCCATTGCCGGGAATTTCCAATCAATTTTAATTGGCACCCCATCGATGGATGACAGCGAGAAGAAATCCAAAATATTTGTGCATAATTTTAATTAGAACATTTTCCATTTGCGCAATTTATCTTGTGTGCCCCGGAAGACTTGTACTTAGAAACCGGTGGCAGTGGCGGTGGCATACGTTCGATGGGTGTCAAAGTCGAGGCAATAAATTATTTCAAACGAGCATATCGAAGATGTGTCGCTCCTCCAAAATGTAGCTCACACATGTGCTAGCTAGCCAGGGCTAGTATTCGAAATATTTTTATGGCTAGGTCCCTGGCTGGCCGGGTGTAGGTATCGTCGTATCACAGGGATTTATGTGCAATCGGGGGGCTCGGAGATAAATCTCCTGCCCACTCAAGCGGCCAGCCAATCAAAGTTGCAGTCATTTAAATTCTCGCAGCGGGACTCTCGCTCTCTCTGTCTGCTCCCGGAAAACTCATTTAAGTTTTCCTCGGCCAGAGAGATAGGTGAAAAGGATAAGGTCGAGTCGAGTCAAGTTGAGTTGAGTCGAGGGATTGGCCAACTTTGGTCCGGCTTAATTGCCCAGTGTCCTTGCAGCGAAAAGGGAGGCTTAATTGCCTCAGCCCCTGATTGTGGCCTTTGACTCCCATGCTTAATTGCCATTTAGTCCTTTTTAATGGACTCCACTGTACTGTTCCTTGTTCATTAATGGCCACCACGTCTAGGTTTCCACTCACCTCCTGGCGCAACTTTGCGAAACCCTGTCGATACCACTCACTGTCTCTCAGATGGACTTGCAAATGCTAGCATTTTAATAGCAGCATTTTTGACTTAATATGTCCCGGCTTATCTGTGTATCTGTGTCTCTGGGTATCCTGCATGTCCTGTGCCCCTTTGGGCTTTCCCAGCTCGTTTGTGTTGCATAAATTTGCCCAAATTGTTTTGCTGCCGACCGATAAGACGCCGTCGATGGCATGACAATTAGCCCGAAACTACGTTTAAAATATAACTTGTGGTCCTTCGATTGTGTGGTCCTCGTCCAGGTCCTGCTCCTGCTACTGTACCCTCGCCCCTTTTCAGCTTTAATTGTTTCTTGGGGTCGTCTGTCGAAAGTGCAAACACAATCTGATTGCTGATATCCCCGGTATTGGCCATTGGCCGAGAATGACAACGAGGGCGACCTCTTTTAAAGTTCTTAATTTCGTTTGAACAAGTTTTCACTTCACTAACTATAGTTTGTCCTGCTTAGACCCAAATAACCTAAACATAAAATCTTATTTAATTTCGGAAATTTTCTTCGTTTGACCTACATTATCGGTAGCTTTAGTGGTTATCAATCGAGAGTGGAAAAATCTAAAGACAATGAAATCCGAATCAGATTAAAGTCGAGCTTTGTCAGAGACAGTCGCAGATGACAGTGCCATGAAATCAATCGCAGCAGTTTTTTTAAGCATTTTGATTGTCCGAGCAGCCGGTGATCAATGTGAGTTTAACAGAATCTTAAAGTGTATTAAAATCACTGGCTCCTTCAGCTTCTAGTTGGTTTCCGCTTCAGTCCAATTTGCTTCCGAATAGCTCTACCTGCGGAGGCGATGCCGCGCAGCCCAAAATTCTTTCTGGCGTAGAAACAGTCCCTAGTGAATTACCCTGGATGGTTATGCTGGAGTACTGCTCCCCAGGTGGAGATAGTCTGAATATCAACTGCTCGGGATCGTTGATCAACCATCAATATGTTCTCACAGCGGCTCACTGTCTCACAGGCCAGAAGCTTGGTCAGAACGGATCACTGTAAGAAAGAGCTTTCGAGTCATTGTTTTAGTTTGTTTTCGGTCTGTACGTTGAATAATTTTTGCAGTGTTTCTGTGAGGCTGGGAGATCATGACACTCGTACCAGAATAGATTGTACGAGGAGAGTATGCGCTCCGGATGCTGTGCAAATGGGAATCGATGAGATAAAGATACATGAGGAGTACGTTGACGGAACCCCGAACTTCTTGAACGACATTGGCCTGATTCGCCTGGCGAGAAAGGTGCCCTATACGGCTTTCATTCGTCCCGTTTGTCTGCCCTCGGCGGTGGGCTTAAAAGGCTGGCAATCCGGACAGCAGTTTACGGCGGCAGGATGGGTTCGGACTTGTGATGGTGCAAGAAGTCCCACCAAGCTAAAAGTGGGAGCGAACTACGTGGAAATCGCTGAGTGCCGTCGCAGATACGCATCTGTCAAAATAGACGTGGGCAATTCCCATTTATGCGCCGGCGGAAGGCAGAGAGTGGGCAGTTGCGATGGAGATACCGGCGGACCACTGATGGCATACCGTCAAGGAGTTTGGGTCCTGGCGGGCATTGTGTCCTTTGGCCACGGTTGCGATATGATCAACTGGCCAGCAGTCTACACAGACGTGTTTTACCACCAGTCCTGGATCACGAGCCACATGAGGCCTTAGTCTATAGCAATGCTTGACTGCACATTAGATTAGAAACCAACCATAAAGTTATCAATAAAAGCTCTGAATGTTCTGGTTTTCTCGCTGGAGAACACTTTCAAAGGTAATCAGAGGTTTTTTTTGGCGATAAGCAGACATCAACAAGAACATAAACATTTTTTTATTTCTGACAAATGTTTTTCTCATAATTAATGTATTCATGGTCCGAATATGGAATGTCCTACCTCGTTATCAGCTCTGTAATCAAAGGTGAAAATGTACAATTTTTGTCATTTTTCGCCCTTTACCCCTTACCTCTTATCAAAAATACGAAATCAGGCTTTTACCTTATCAAAAATACGAAATCAGGCTTTTACCGATTTTACCCTAAAAATGGCAGTATTGTTCTCATAACTTGGCCAATAATGGTCAGAATATAGAATGCCATACCTCGCTGAGCTCGTAATTTGATTTCCAACAAAACTGCATTGACAAAGTTAGAGCTAAGAAACGGCAAGAATCTGGGCTCTAAAAGACGTATACTTGACTTTGGGCCCCAAAAAATCAGTTTTTTAGCCATAGCACAGCCAAAAATGGTCCAAATGTGGAATGTAATACCTCGTAGGGCTTGTAATTTGATTGCTTTGATTCCCAATCGATTTGCACTGGAATCGGGAAAACTTCATTTTCGGCCATTTTTCGAAAATTTTGATGATGGTACCCCTTATAAAAAATGCGAAATTTAGCCGAAAAATGATTTTCCCAAAATCGAAAAACGAGTGATAGGGGTGGTAAGTGGTGGTCGTTAGCAGCACAAAACAGTCGTTCTTTTAGCTGTGCGACTTGTTTTGACCGATCTAGAGCTAAAAACCTGAACACAGTAGTGCAAACTTCTGTTAAAAATAGGTTTCCTGATTATTCAGCCCTTAAACCGGAGCTAGCAAGAAAATATCAGAACCATATTGATAAAAGCAAGTATAGGGGTTTAAATTTTTGGTTGTTAGCTGCATAAAACAGTCGCTGTTTCAGCCATGCGTCTTGTTTTGACAAAGTTAGAGCTAAGAAACGGCAAGAATCTGGGCTCCAAAAGACGTATTCTTGACTTTGGGCCCCAAAAAATCAGTTTTTTAGCCATAGCACAGCCAAAAATGGTCCAAATATGGAATGTAATACCTCGTAGGGCTTGTAATTTGATTGCTTTGATTCCCAATCGATTTGCACTGGAATCGGGAAAACTTCATTTTCGGCCATTTTTCGAAAATTTTGATGATGGTACCCCTTATAAAAAATGCGAAATTTAGCCGAAAAATGATTTTCCCAAAATCGAAAAACGAGTGATAGGGGTGGTAAGTGGTGGTCGTTAGCAGCACAAAACAGTAGTTCTTTTAGCTCTGCGACTTGTTTTGACCGATCTAGAGCTAACAAGCCGAACACAGTAGTGCAAACTTCTGTTAAAAATAGGTTTCCTGATTATTCAGACCTTAAACCGGAGCTAAGAAGAAAATATCAGAACAATATTCATAAAAGCAAGTATAGGGGCTTAAAGTTTTGGTTGTTAGCTGCATAAATCATTCGCTGTTTCAGCCATGCGTCTTGTTTTGACAAAGTTAGAGCTAAGAAACGGTAAGAATCTGGGCTCTAAATTATCAAACGAAAGATGGGGAAAGTTTGTTTTGGCCGTTACCTTCACAAAACAGTCATTCTTTTAGCTGTAGGTTTTTCAAAGTTATAGGTATAAAACCGATTAAAAATATTTCCGTTTGCTGACCAAAGTCATTGTCCTGATTTTTGCCTTTAATTAATCAGAATTATTCTCATAACAAAGCCAAAAATAGTCGGAATATAGAAAGCCATATGTCGCTGTGATACTGCCATAAAAAGTCATGGGAAGTATTTCTTTGCATTAGTTTTCGGAGATCTCATCCACCTTCTTGAGCTGCCTCCTCTACTGTCCAGTTTTCAGTTCCAACCTTTTTCTTCCACTTTCTCTCGGCTCGGTTCAACCTGCCACTTCAGGGAGCTCCTGCTGCTGGTGCACTTACTCTTAATGAAAAAAAGAAAGCATTATTATTAAATTATAACCAGGGAAATATCCCTCTCAACCCCCTTTCGATCTCATTTGAGCGCATGACATAAACATAAACTTGGCGCCTTTTGTGTGAGCGAGTCCTGCGGGCGTTGCCTGTGTATGTGTGTATATACTTATCCTGATCCTGGCCGGCGGCTAGCAACAACAATGGAGGCAGCAAACACCTTTAATATTTTCATTATGAAGTCATTCAGCGCGATTATTAACGCGTGACCCCCCAGGCGATGCACAGCGTCCAGGGCGAACGGTCGAAAGCGGATGAAGGTTCAGGTCCACCCTAATGAACAACAACAACAAAGCCGTTTGAGAATAGCTCTTCATTGCACGGAGAGAAAAGTCGTAAGCTTAGCTAGAGCATATACAGTATGTTAGCCCTGATAGCACCGACCTTGAGTTCTCTTTTCTAAATTCTTTTTACAGGGACTTCATTTTTTTGAGTTAAAGTGATTTTGGGATTTCCCCTGGATTCGACTTGATCCGATTGATCGTGAAGTGAGGCTTTCTCAAGTTTCTCTCAGTGTGCTCCAACGCTGAGGTAAATTACAATTTTTTGTTTATAAGTGGCAGCCGCTGGGCAAGTGCAGCTGTACCTAATAATCATAATAATTGCGCCATGGGCGTCGACAGCGTCGTCAACTTTTCCAGACGCCATTTACCCCCCACCACCCCCGTCCACGGCAACAACAATTGCTTATAAAGTGCGTGTGACACATTAACGGGAAAAGTCCGGCGCGAAAAGCGGGAAAGCCTCGGCAGACAGGGAAAAAGGCAAATAAAACTCGCGGCCAGTGGGCGAACTTCAAAAGAAATAAAGAAAAGGCAAAAAAAAGAAGCTGAGCAGAAAAGAAAAGAAAAGTCCTTTAATGCCGTGAATTTTCCGCGGGATTTCTATAAAGTGCAGCGGGGTGGAGGCCGGGAAAATTAGACAGGGGACAGGGGTCACTGCGGTTTCTGCCATGAAAATTGAAAAAATGTTCGTGCGTAAATTGGCTTTTGGGCCGGGGATGCCCTCCACATCCATACCAGAAATTGAAATGGCATCGGGCGGGGCCAGGTCACCTCACATCCGCATTTTCCTTTTCCACTTTTTCAAATTGAATTTTGTTTCGAGAGCTCCTGAGACGGCCAAGCGGAAAGTGAAAGTGGAAAGCCAAAGGAACCCGGCAGCAAATTAAAAAGAAATTAAGCCAATTTGCCTTTACAGGCCAGGATGTGCGGCTCAATTTCACGAGTCTTGGCCAAAAGTGGCCGCGACTTGTTGTGGCTCGTAAATCTTGGCCCATAAATACCACGGCCTTCTGCTCAATTCCCGCTCCTCTCGCCTCACTGGCGTAAAATTCTTTAATCTCGTTCAATTCAATTAGTTCGAGTTGACTAGTTAATGCCGCTCCAAGTGTCCGCGAATGTCCTTTTCCTCCATCGGAGGTGAGTTATCTTCTTGCCCCGACTTTGTCACCGAGCATTAAGTTTAGCAATTTATGGGTGCTCCACGACGAGTGCCTGCAGCCCTGATGTTTATGGTTATCGCTGGCTGATCAGCCTCTAATTTGGTAAATAACCTTTCCTGGTTGCTGGTGACTCCCTACTAAAAGGAAATTAAGCATAGTGCTTGGGGAAAGTGCTAAAAATTTAAAGGACCCACTTTATTAGCAGTAATAAGAACACCTCCTTATATAGTTAATGATAATTTATTCGTGTGCTTGATCACATGGTTACAATGAAAGCTTAAGGAAGGGGTACTACAATAATACGAATTTTGAATTGGAATGAATTGGAAATGGATTGCGATTACGGACCCGATTTAGAACAACCTAACATGACTGGGTACAAAGCTAACAAAAATATAAATGGCCGGTGAAAAGTTTATTTAAAGATCTCTCCATTCTGATCCGGACGGCACTACAGTGATCAGAAAGAGGACCCTGCAGCTTAGTGGCCGCCCACACTGGACTCTGCAGCATCCGGAGTATTTGCAGAGGAGGCCAGAGCCTCGGTCAGAGCATCCACAGTGTCCTCTAGATCCTGGCGCGGCGAGGAGACCGGCGTGGTATTGTCGTCGCGGGGCTTGGCCTTTCCAAAGATCAGTGCAGCCTGCTTGGTCTCGGCCAGGGAGTTTATGGGGGCAGTCACCGTCCTTGGTTTCAGAACCAGTTTTGGCCGATCGTCATCGTCGAGTACCCCGAACATGTTGCTCGAAGTTGGCCCGGTGGCCGATGTTCCCGATTCCGGGACTCCCGACAAAGGACCCTTGTCATCCCGGTCAAAGTTGCCGTTGTCTTTGAACCTCCCAGAATTGGGGTTGTAGTGACCACGACGATCGCGGTTTCGATTCTGGACAAAGTTGGTATAATTCCCATTGCCATATCCACCGGCTGCGTTGCCGTTGAAGTTTCTCTGCAGATTGCCACTCCTGTTAGGTCCACCTCCTCCGCCAACGCTATTGTAGGAGCTGGAAAAGAAATTAAGAAATCAATCCCCTAATTCTAAGTTTCCCTTACTACTATATTACTTACCGATTGAAGTTGAAGTTGCGGTTGCGTTCGAATCCTCCGTTGTTAGGCGAATGCTGTCCGTCCCGATCATCGAAACTCAGACGTGGAGCTCCTTCTTGGTAGCGATTGCCATTGCCGCCGCCCCGGTCACCTCCACCACCGCGGCCGTTGTAACCACCTCTGCGGTCGTAGTTTAGGGACATGGTGCTTTGGGTGGGGCTGCTGTTGGACATTTGGTGGCTGCTGCTGCTGGGCGTCTCCCTCCGTCGATACTGATGGGATCCTACGCTGTCGTCCCGCCGATAATTGCGTCTTTGGTAGTAGGGATTGCCTCCATTACCACCTCCATTGAATCCGTTACCACCACCGCTACTGGCAATGGGTCCCCTACCGCCACCTCTTTCTGGGCCTTGAGAGCCACTGGGTCCTCCAGCTGGTCCTATGCTGGAGGCCGGAGTCTGTCGACGATGATCGGCTATATCGATGCGCAAGGGGGCCGAAAAGTTGTCCAGCTTGATGCGCCCGTTGCAGGAGAGGGCCTGTTTCAGCTGGGACAGAGTCTCAAACTCCACGTAGCCATAGCCCTTAAACTCGTCCGTCTCCCGATCCTTGATCAGGCGCACCTTCTTCACCTCGAAGTCCGAGAAGATCTTCATGACATCGCCTTGGACGAGGCCCTTGGGCAGATTGCCCACATAGGCGATGAAAGGTGGATCCGTGGGCACCTGACGCGGGCGATCGCGATCCCTGTCACGATTGCGAAAGTCACGGAAGTTGCCACGACTGTCTCGATTGTCACGATTATCGCGATTATCACGATGGTTGCCGCCATCTCGATTAAAGTCCCGATTGTTGCTAGTATTGTTGCTAGTGCTGTCACGGTTGAATTCGCGGTCCCGCTGGCTGGAGCGATTGGCCATGATCGAACCCTATTTCCGATCCTATGAAAATATATGTACCTACAAATAGCCTCTCGATCCACGGACGCACGGAACACGGAACGCTGTACGAAAAGTCCGGAGCTTGATTTTCCAGACGCTATTGATAAGTCTACGAGAGACGAGGGACTGGGCTCGGGGCTGTGGGGCTCCTTTCAACATTCTGACAACCAGGTGACACTATTTTCAATCACACTGGATCGATCTCGATGTATAAGAAAGTTAATGTGTATATATAATTCTCTCCTGATTTGGTATTCCATGTTTAAAGTGGAAAATCTTGATTTTCTTCTTAGATCCAAGCTGATTTGAATGTGCAAAATGGAAGAGGTTTGCTTACAGCCAAGCTGCCTTCTGGGAACTTAGCTCTGAGCTAAGGTAAACCATAGATGATTAATTACGGCGCCAGTCGCCAGACCCCTTCCCCGTTTTCGCAAAACATGTGTAAGCAGCAGCTCCATCTTCTCCGCCAGTTTGTGTTTGTTTTATGGATAACGCCAACAAAAGCAGCAACAGCCAGTGCATGAAAAAGTCAACAGTAAATAGTGCAGCCAGGCAGCAACAGCAACATGATGCACAGCAGCAACACCAAGCGAGAGCATTCTCTGTTTGCCCCGCGAACTCATGACTCATTTTTGTACATTTGTCAAAATTTTGGGCCATACATCATTTTAAACAGTGCTGCTCGGGGGAGGAGGTTGGGCAAAGGTTGCGCAGAGTGAGGGATCACTGTATTTTAGCCACAGCCTGGCTTTCATTGAGAGCCCTGTAGGAGGGATGGGACCTCCCCCTCTCAGTTCAGGAAAAACCTTGCCCCAGTGCTTCAAAGGACTCATCGCATGGAGGCCAAGATAAATCGCCAGCAACACGGAATTAAAAACTGATGTAGCGATTAATTTATCACTTGCAGGCAGTGCACTCAAAGAACAGTGATATCTATTTGAGTTTCTAAAAGTAGCAACACTAACGTTGAGTATCTTTATCTATGTATAACAGATTAAGGCAGAAGTTTCTACATACTAAGAGAAATCTGCTGTAAGGTATGGCCTTCTAATTTAGCATATGTTTTTCTGCCAGTGCAGTGGCAAGAAGAGTTGCAGCTTCTGGCGATATTTAACTAACAAGTTGCAGTGAGCGAGTGGACACACAGAGGAGACGTTTGAACGGTTCCATCCGAATGGAATCGAAGTCCACGGAGTTGGGCAGTAAATAAATTACGAGCAGCAAATAAACGCGCTTCATTGCACCATCGATGGACAGTGGGTATAGTATTCCGCCATAGAGGTGGAATCTCTGGGGTACAGGGGGGAGGCCGAGGGAAAACAAAGGGCCAAGGGAGATGTATGGACAAACAGAGACAAGCAAACGGAAACGGAAACGCTTTCAGCTGTCGAATTTGTATGAGCTGAAAGTGCCCATTCTAGAGAGTCGAGAGCCGAATGCCGAGAGCTTTTGTTGTAAGCGCTCAATCATTTGATTGTTGCAACTGCAGAAGGACTCAAGCGGAGCTCATCGATCAGAATTAATAAAGATTTGGTCCTCGGTGATTGACTGACTGACCCACCTCGACCAGCTGGGATTCCTCGGGGGGAGATATCCACTACCATCCCTTCGGGAAGTGTATCGGACGGAATAGAGCATTTGTTTCTAATCGGGAAATCCCACTCGAATGGCACAGAAGCGTAAGCGATTTGAGTATTACACAACATTAGCAAAATGAAATTGATTTCGAGGCCGTTTTGGAAGCACCCGCCCCGCCCAAGCAGCCACTCTCCATTCCAAGCTCATCATAATGATGTGTGCCGCAAATATGCAGCGTAAATATCTTTATGTGGCAATAGACGAGTATGTGTAGTACATACCTCCCCCCGAAAACACTCCATTAGTGCACTTGTAGTACCTCACATATCAAGGACAAACAGGGGGTGTGGCAAGGACCGACCGCTCACTAATCATATTAAACGGAATTCATACGTCGCCGCATTTATGCGACTTACCCGGGACCCGGGAGCTCGGAAAACATCCAAGAACCAGCGAAAAAGATAGGAGGGTAGCTATTGTTATGACTCGGTCTGGCAACATTTTTCGTTGTCGTTTAAACTAATTGAGTGTTACAAATTTTATGTGCAAAATCTTTAAGCTAAATTGAAATTTGTTTTCCTTCTGCCCCGCCGCCGTACTCCTTCCACACACGCACTCGCAGCATGCCACTATCCCCGTAAACCCATTTGATGTTATGTCCACATTCTCGTCGCTCATACCCGTAAGTGCGTTGAACCATTTTAAAATGTCCGCGCTGAGGTACCTTCGACTGTTTTCTGTCTGCCACGAAACGTGGCCTACGGGGTGGAGTGGCCTGCCTGTGGGGTTCTTATACTTATTTCCTCTGGGGTGGGCCACGCGCTTCCCTTTCATTTTCATAATTGAGGTTGAAGTTCGCGATGAAATATTAAGTGTAGGATAAGCAAACGCTGAGGCTTCATGTGCCTGCTAAAAAGTACAATTTGTTTGTTTATTCTGTTCTCAGTTTTAAATCTAGAATTTATTAAGGAAACATGAAAAAGAAAAGTGGAAAAGATCCTTGGTTGTCATTTCTTTGGCGCAGAAATCGCCTTAGCTTCCAAGCATATTTGGAAAATGACAAATTCTACCCACTCCGTTCGGCTCCAATCCTCCAGAAATCATGTCAGCTAATTAAACTGCCAACGGAGTGTATTCCGAAAACAATTTACATAATTTACGATGCAAGACAATTGGCAGAGGAACTGGGAAAAGCGAGGCAGGGCTTGCAGGCCAATAAACAGAATTGCATATGAAATGCCAGGGATATTTGTATGAATTGTTTGGGCCAAGATAAGGATGAAAGGAGTATTAGCGGGTTCTCCAAGCTGGCGACTGCATGGCCATGGACAGAAGCCCACGCGAAGTATGGGTCCTAAGTAAAGAACAACTATCGCTTGAGATTTATCATTGGCCCGGTCATATATCAAGTGTTTTGGCCAAATAATATAATATATGGCACTTGCCAAGTTCGCAATTACCAGCAGAGAGCTGAAACTGTCGCGGCATTTTGAAAAATTAACATGCAGCCGAATATATAGTTCTTTGTATCGGCCAGCACCATAGATTTATGCCAATTTGATACTCCAAGTGATGGCGATTTATGGCCCTTCCGATTCCACGCTCCAAAGAACTTTCGGCGGCCCATAAATAATGCCGGCGATCAAATTGCTACCTTCATGTGTCGATAGGGCAGAAAGCAGAAGAGCGAGGGCGGGCGAAGAACAGAACAGAGTTCCTTGGCTCGCCGTTATTGTACTTTCAATTAAGGCAATTGATTTTAATTAGACCACGGCTTACCATAAACATATTCCGAAGAAATTATTATTAAACACGCGACCCTCGAGAGCTGCTGGTCCCGTGGAGGGGGCGCTCGTAAAGTTCTTCCTCACCTCACCACCTCTCTGGGTGTAACCTAATATCTGCTCTAGTCATTCGGATCAATTAGCAGGAATTATATGGCCAACTCGGGTCGCGGTGCTCCCTGCCCAGGAATGTGCCCACATCTCTGGCCAACTGCTGCTGCCGCCGAAGTTGGAGGAGGTAGAGCTGCTATGTTCCTTAATTGGCCGATATGAAGGGGAACAATCGAACACTGAGCGAATATATGAAGTATAACTTGAAAGCTTTTGAAACGGATTTATCATCCTTCTACTCATAAAGGACGATATGAACTAAAAGAGAAACACTGCACATAGAGTTTCCAATGAATAATCTGTTTTATTTTAATTAATTATTGCTTTAATTCATTTTTATTATATTATTATTATTATTTATTACATTACGCTTCTTCGATCAGTTGGCAGATGAAATAAGCTTTAATGTACCAGGGAACAGTGGAATATTTTCCGTTCTTTACGGTATAACACATCGATCTGTTGGTCTGAAAGTCACACATGTCAAGCCAGAACTTATGATTTGAGGGAAGTCTCTCTTTAAAAGCTTCCAATTCATTGTATTTCACGAGGAAACCACCCATTTTTTTACAGGCGTCTTTAGCTGAGAAAAATTCTACAGCAATATTACGTTCGATGTAAAAGTTTTTCTGGCCGATTTTCTCAAATTTCGATATTGGAGGACTAACGGCTTGAGCTTGTGACTCGTGAAAAAGTTTTTCCAAACTATTCTGTGAGGACTGCTTTTGACTTTTTATTTCAGCCTCCATCCGCTGTAATTGAGATAATATTTCCTTTTGAACATTTTCTAAACTCTGTAATTTATCCATGGCAGGAAGATTGAATATTTCAGTCTCTATCTTTTCTAAATGGTTTCGCATGTCTTTTTGAGCATTGTCAACAGTCAGCAGTTTTTCCTCTGTTTTTCGATTATTATCGATAATCGGACGAAGAGCGGCCAGACAGAATGCCCCACACTGGTTAGGAGCGTCCGTGAGTGCACAAGCAGGAAGGCTTTTGTCCTGGGCGTCTGCCATTGATCCTGACAAATCCAAGGCAATGAAAGAACAGAAGAGAAAGGCTGCCAGCTTGAGCATTTTAAATAATCACAACCTTTTCCAAAGAAGTTTAGAAATGAACTGAATCTGAGATGATTTTCAAGTAACGACGAAACCAAATATTTGCTGATAACGGAACGGAAGCTTTTAGGAATTAGTCATAAGAAATCAATTTGGGAATTTTGTGGCCTTGTTATCAAATAAAGTGTTTTTGGACCTTCATGTGTGTAAGTCCACTGTATGCTTAAGCTTAACAACAAAGCTAGTGTTTGGCATGTCGGCTAGGGCTTAATTTATTTAAGCAAATCATTGAATTCTTTCTTTGTGTTCCCCCAATTCGCTCTCTATTAGCTAACCACATTTTTTTCCTCTGCCGTTAACGGCGACGTGCCTCAATTGAGGTGATCAACGTTAATTGAAAGCCAGCGCAGATGACTCAGCCGGCGACTCATTAAGTGGCTGGGAAATGGGAGCGAAGGCTGACGGAACTCGGAGCGAACTCCGAGCGATCGAGATGAAAAATTAACATTTCGCGCATCATTAAAATTCCAATAGAAGAGATGGGCTGCGATGGATCGTTGGACGGTGGACTTTGCCATATG